CTCTCTCTCTCTCTCTCTCTCTCTCTCTCTCTCTCTCTCTGCCTCCTCCAGGAGATACCTGTCCATTCAAGTTATCCTTCTCTCATTGTTCATTGTCTTTTCATTCACTATAAACAAATACTGTAAGTTCTTTTAAACACTTTTATTAGTGCATGTTTGCAGTACATAATGATTACATCCCCTGAAACTGTAACATATTCCAATTCTTTTCTTCCCACTTTCCACACCTTTTTATTTTTCCATCATCAGAATCAGTTACTTTGTTATAAAACCTTACAAAGTTAATTATCACAAATATAGATTGTAAATCAGAAGAATAGGCCAAAGAACATATAAAACAGGTACACTTTTACATACACTATAATCCAGTGAGGATTATGCATGAATGTAAACTCCCTTTTAATCAATGCCATCATCCCTTCTTTTGGGGAAACTGCCTGTCTCATCCTCCTCCTACAATCCGCTTCTGTTGCCCAGGTAATTGATTAAATAGCACACGTATCCTTTCCTCTCGTCTTGCATATTTGTCTCAAGTTGCACTTATGGCTTTCAAAGAATCAAAAGCGCCTTCATTCTTGGAATCTATGAGATGGAACGATCACACGTTTGATCCAAAGGAAAAGTCGGCAGCTATGTAAACGAAAATGGAAAAAATCACAGGCCTTCGTTTATATGTAATTTTCAAAAAGAAATTAACGAAAAAACCTTGAGCCCACCCCAGTTAAAGTATAAGGGAATTGTTAAACCTCTTCACCAGGCTGCAATTCAGGGCCCTAACTCTAGGACACTACAGGAAAAAGGATGCTGCAAATTGGCGGAGAGAGCAGTCTAGGCACGAACGCGGACGGCAGGGACGCGCCAGCCGCCGCGCTCCACGCACGCGCGTATCGTGCGTGTGGCCTTGGAGCCGGGGATCCCCAAAACCCTGGGCCTCAGCGCCAAGATCCATAGGCTGACAGGGGCCAGGAGGTACCTGATCGTAAGGGGATTTTTCCAGCATCTGCGTGCACAGATCAGCGCAGAGCTGGAACTTCCTGCGCCTAAAATAGCTCCAGGCCAGGAGCAGCGGCTCCATGTCGGAGCCCATCGTGGCCCAAGTCGTCCAGCGGAGGAACGGGGTCCGGCGGGAGGACGGTGGGCGGGGATGGCAGCGCCGCGTCAGGCTCTCCCCGGCAACGGGCTGGGGCTGGGCCTCGCTTGAGGGCTGCCCGCAGTGTGCCTGAGAACAGGGAAAATGAAAAACTACCGCGAGCAGAACTCAGCGTTAGAGTCTGCCCAAACGCGGCTGCAGAAAAAAAAAAAAATCGAGTACTTTTAAAGACTATAGATCTCATTAATTTCTAAAAGACGCCGTCACTAAAATTTTAAAAGGTAGTGACTTAGACACCTCGCCTGGGGCCCTCCACCCTCGAGGGGGGGGGGTGAGAGGCTTGGTTGCCTAGCAACAGCTGCACTGTTCCCCTGGTCGGGGGAGAGAAAGATGGGGCGAGAGTCCAACAAATAGAATGCATGTCTGTGGCGTCTCCATCCCACGACTCTCCTTGGCTCATTCTTACCGCATTACCCTTCTGACTCTAGAAACAGGCAGAAACAGTTTCTCCAATACTACCTTGCCCATGAAACCCAAAACCCTAAATCCTGAAACTCTCCAGCCTGTTTCTGCAGTTCCTAATCTCCGAGAATCTCAGTGTCGAAATTGCAATGGAGTCTAGAGATTGCTTGGTCCCATCTACTCATTTTACTAATGAGAAACTGAGCTTTTGAAACACCGCCCCCACCCCCCTGCCCTTCGCCCTCCAGCTCTCGCTGTACTTCTTCCTGCACAGATCTGACTTGCCCATGGCGATTTATAAAGTAACAAGTGTTACATGCCAGCCGTTATGAAGACAGTAAATGTCACGGAGATAAATCCAGTTAGGCTTCATGGTAGATAGGGGAGTGGGGAATGTGTTTCTTCTGTA